GGTGCACAAACATGTCGCATAAAGTATTTGGGGATTTAAGTGTGTTCTGCCATGGCAGCGAATGTCTTTGATGACCAAATTCTACGACACATTCTTTCATTTGTGCCTGGGAGCTCTGAATTGGCTCCAAAATATTCTTTGCAACCAGAAACCGGACACTATCTGGTAAAAGCTGGTTGGCCGGTTGTTTTGAAGAAAATGTGTCATTGGAAGGAGGCAGACACCACCATCTGTATTTGCTGTGGTGCCAACCAAGAACCCGGCGATCCAAACGAGTCAGACGATAGCTGGACATCTCAGCAAGTCTCTGCTGGCTGGGCAAAGGTCATGACCGTGACAATACCACACTTTCGTCATCATCATATGAAATATATCAAAAAAACAGTCAGAAGCATAGAATATGTTTGGAGGACAATGGCAGCCGAGAGATGTTACATCTGCGGGCACTGCAACGACTGCGTTGTGAATCTCGAGTATGAGCATCCTGCTGACTGGCTGGAAGATCTTTCTGTGTTCACAGAGATGCTGGAACTTAGGTCGTGTCCGTGGAGGTGCCCAGATAAAGATCGACCGCAGTAGCCGGATTGCTGCAGTAGTAAAAGCGGCAAACATGCCACATCTGCAGCATCATGATACCGACCTTTGCTTGGAAGCAGCTTGTGGGAGCTGGAAGGCTTGCGTACCGAGTGGCACATGGAACTGAGTGCAACTGGCGCAAATTAATCTGTAGCAGTGTTCGTCTGGAGAGACTGTTCGTGACGAACATGCAAAACCAGTAGCCAACTGTTGTTTGTCTGTAAAGATTTTTTTTTCCATCCTGTAGGGACATCGGAGAAATGCAGTGAAACAGGTGTCATCCTTGCCATCATGATATCGAACTTGCTATTGTGGAATCATTTGCAGCATTCTTGCACGGACTTCTAGATTCTCTTGGATGCCATGGTACGGAGCCTTTGTTTGTGTACTTTTGCATTTTTTAGCGTTTCCATTGCGACTATGTTTGCCCACCTGTGTTGGCAACTGAGGTCATCCACGGCATCATGGTGCCGAGCTTATTTTGTATCTCAAAGAGCGGATGCCTTGCATTGGATTGTGCGTTGATCATGGTACTGAGCCTGGTCTTGTGCACTTTTGCGATTTTTTAGCATTTCCATTGCAACTATGTTTGCGCACCTTTGTTTGCAACTGAGGTCACCCAGTGGTGCCGCGCTTTGTGAGCGTCTCTGTGTAAAAGTCTCTGTGGAAGCGTCTGTGTGTAAAAGTGTTTGTGTGTAAAAGCGTCTGTGTGTAAAAGGGTCTGTGTGGAAAAGCGTCTGTGTGTAAAAGTGTCTGTATGTAAAAGTGTTTGCGTGTAAAAGCGTCTGTGTGTAAAAGCGTATGTGTGTAAAAGTGTTTGTGTGTAAAAGCGTATGTGTGTAAAAGGGTCTGTGTGTAAAAGCGTCTGTGTTTGTGTGCAAAAGCGTCTGTGTGTAAAAGCATTTGTGTGTGAAAGTGTGTGTGCGTCTGTAAAAAGGCATCTGCATGTAAAAGCGTATGTGTGTAAAAGAGTCTGTGTATAAAAGCGTCTGTGTGTTAAAGTGTTTTCGTGTAAAAGTCTCTGTGTGGAAATGCGTCTGTGCGTGTGTGTGTGTGCATGAAAAACGTCTCTGTGTGAAAGCGTCTGTGTGTAAAAGTGTTTATGTGTAAAAGATTCTGTGTGTAAAAGCGTCTCTGTATAAAAGCGTCGCGTTTCTTCGCGTTCACGGAATGATGGTGCCGCGCCTTTTTCCGCAATGTGTGTGGGAATTACCATAATAAAATGAGATAGCACATGTCATTCGCAGACTCATGGCACTGAGCCTCCTGTGCACTTTTGTTGCTCACATTACATTTCTCCATGTTTTCTTTCTACCCCACCCCTTTCATTCTCTCTCTCTCTCTCTTGCTTTCTCTTTCTCTCTCTCTCTCTCTCTCTTTCTCTCTCTCTCTCTTTATCTCTGCCCCCTCTTTCTCTCTCTCTGGTTGCAAGACACATGTCATCTGATGCCCTTTACCAAATATTCTCTTCTTGATCAATCTTACTTTTTCACATCATATCTTTCCATAGCTCATATAAAATTCATCAACTATTCACCGACTATCTTTTACGACTACCATCCTCAGAGCTGCTTGAAAAACATCTTTTTCGCTCTCGGGCCAACCGTCGTCTAGTTTGACGGTGTGCTGAACCCTTTGGTTGTCTGAACCACTGGCTTTTGCCAGCTCTTTTTAATTTCCTATTTAACAGCCAAGTCAACTGGTATGACTTGCATTCAGAGAATGTCCCTTCCAAGTGGCATGGAAAATGGACACCTCTGGCACGTCCTCAGTCAATGGTATGACTACAGAGGAACGGCCCTTCATTAAACGGAAAAAGATGTCATATGACATCCTCATTGAATCAACTGTTCCACGGCCCCACTGACGGCCTCAAAGATTGAAGGCTGTAGTAGGGCACTGCAGAGCATAGTGCTGTATTCTTGGCTTGTCCACCAGTGGAATACGTATCTGCGGTAGTTGAGATAGGCCATCATTAAGGTAAAGTCTGGCAACAGCAAGGGACTGCCATCTGCCTCTGAGTAATATAGCATCCATAGGAAGCCCCTGCTGCAGGAGGTGAGTAGCCCCTCCTCTGCGGAGGCTATAAGGTTTAAAATTGAAAGCCCCCAGGCGGAAGAAAGAAAGATATCTTCTGTACTCCTCTCTGAAGGTCTGTGCTGAAAATGGCCAGATCCTGTTTCCTGGGCCTCCAGGATGCACGAAGAACAAAGTCTCCAGCAACTGAAGGGTAAGGAGATCTCTGATGGCGACGGCTTCTTCTGTACCATGTCGGAGGCCGGTTTTAGAGCTCTTCAAAGTGAGGACTCCACAAGTCGCTGTAAATTCCAAATCTTGATATTGAATTGCCAATAACTCTCCTGTACGTAGTAGGGCGTGAAATCCCAGCGCTACCCGTAGCAAACGGGATAGCCACCCTTTCAGTTGCTCGGCCAATGATTGCTTTGACCAATTCCGCCGTTATTGGCGGGGCCCGGGACGGTGTTTCCACCCTGCGCCAAGCACGAAAGTCTCCACGCACCACGTAGAGTCCCTTTCAGCTCGGGCATGAAGAAATGAAGGCCCGAAAGGCAGTCAGCAATAGTGCTTACAGATTCACCTCGCACCCATTGCAGTTCTACCCATTCACTGATGACTGCATCAAAGGTTTGATCCTTTTGTTGTTGTTCCAAGAACGGGAGAATGAGACCAACTGCAGACTCATAGCGTGCTCTTGTTTTAGGAGTGACAGATAGGGATTTCAGACTAATCCCTGCTCGAGACTTGCGTCTCTCTGCTCGTGTGCGCCCTGCCAGCACCACCCATGGAGTGTTGCGCGGCATTGGGACTAGCGTCTGCTTCCTTCATCTGTAGGATTCTCTTCTGAGGCGACATGGCCATGGAGGAGGAACGAGCCCATGGCCAGCTGCAATGCCCCAATTTTGTTACAGAGTGGCTGCAGCAAGGCGCTCGACGTTCTCCCCTTACTTAAAATTAGAAGAGAAACCAGACTGTCCTCAAGATGTAACCACCGTCTGCAAACACTGGTAGGATTCCTACACTTCCACAAAAGGCTAAAAAGGATCATCTTCATCTCCAAAAAGTTGATGTGAACCTGATCATGCCACTTAACTGTAACAAGTTGTTTCCACTGCCACCACCATGACCGAACTGAAGCATGATTGGGGGGTTTATGCCCAAGAATCTGCCCTGTCGTTATCCTCACATCTGCCCCAGTATGATTAACAGATAATCCGAGTTGCTTGACCAGGTCCTCCGATGAGAAGTTTATTTCAGGCGGCTCCCCGTAGGCTAACCACCGGGTCATAGGGCTGCGCACGGATGGGTGTGCTGACGCACCCGGCGCTAACCCCAATCTCAAGAGGATCATGCTGGGCGTCGTCCTGGGCACAATGTCCTGGCATAGCACCGCTGCCATTGTTGCAAAAGGTAGTATAGCGAAACTATCCCCACATAGACTGCAGCGTATGTCTGCGTGTTCTTTAAGATGCCTCTTTTTCACCCACGCTGATTGGCATGGTTCTGTGTGTCCAGGATTGTACTGGTATGGAGGGTACCTGAATTGATCCTGCTCCCACATAGTGACCATCTCCTGTGTAGCCCTGTTCAGTCCTGCTGGAAAAGGAGGGGGTTGTTGGCGCTTTATTTATCGCCTTCATGAAAGTTGGGTATTTAACCCCTTCTGTAGAAGAATACCTTTTCCAGCCTGGGCGCATCCATTGCCTGTCTTCAATGACAGAATCGGCTTGGATATACGCCCGCACGTACTCCTTTTCGGTCCAAAGCTCCAGCTCATCCATCTGATGTACCTCCTCTGACACCCATGCAAAACGAGGGCGACTGAAGGGCATGCAATCCGCTGGATCCAATTTGATCGGAACTATGTGCAGTTCCTCAGAGATAGTCCTTCTTGCGGTCTCATCCATCGACGCAACATTCTCCACGCAATATTTGACCTTGCAAGTAGCGCCAAACACGCGCTTCACCATCTCTATAATCTCCAGCAACTTCCAGAAAAGTCTTGAGCCCTCGCCCTCCAAATTGCGCCGATAAGCGCGTACAGAGGAAAGGTGAACGCAAGGGAAGCCAGCATATAGATGCAATTCTATCGCACGGGGGAAGAGACCTGCCCAGCGACGAATCTCGGCTTCATCCACCAGCTCAATGTCATGAAGTTCTAGGACACCAGGCCATGCCGTCCTAGTTGCTCTGTTGCCGGGCTTTGATATATCTATCGATATACGCCCCAATGGGGATACCCCCAATATGTCGTAAAGGCGGAATGCCCCGCCTATGCCATTAAAGCAAGACACCAGCAGTATGGGCAACGAAACCGGCCCTAACCGGGTGTCAGCTTTGCTGGCTGCCAAAGACTGTCCAGACCAGGAGAGCCCGCAGCATACTGCCGCAGCTCCCCCGGTCTCTCATGCATCTGAAACTGTAACATCACCATCGTACTTGGCCCGCAGGTCAGTTTGTAGCAGCGGCCCAACGCAGATGAGCCTCATGAGCTCCTGTAGCAACGTATTGACGTGCTTAGGAGCTGGCCAGGCTGACTCCACAGCCTTCCAGCACCTGGACAAAAAGCCCATTCCTGCACGCCTGAATTGCAGCAGGAACACCCAGCGTCCAAGCACCACTTGAGCTTCCCTTTGGCTCCAACGCCCGTGCCTCAGGAGGTACAGCGTGGCCCAAATTGTTCTCAGCAATCGTTCAGGTGATCCTCCAAGTAGTCCTTGACTGCCATCAAATCTAATACCCAGTTCAACAACTTCCTTTGACTGTAAAACCTGTTTGTCGCTAGCTGACAACACTCCAGCAGCGCCCCAAGCTTTCATGGCCATCTCCTGCAGCTGCAGCCCGGTTCTGCCTCTGCCACTTTCGTCAAATTCTCCTGAAAAGAAGTTGTCCAAATAAACTTGCCACCAGGCTCGCGTAGGAGTTGTCGCTTCCATCACCTGGGTAAACCAGAGGGGAAGAGAACCGGACTTACGAAGCTCCAATTCCGGAGGTAACCCATGAATCAAGAGGATTTCCCTGGATATTTGTTGCATAACTCCTACCGAAGATGACCATCCCATGGGTAAAACCTTAATCGCAGGCCTATAAACCATGTGGGGCTCCTTTCCAATCTCGCTACCTTTGACTGTGAAGTTCAAACAGAAGAATGGATACCATTGACTGGGGATTGCAAATAGATAGAACGCTGACTGCATGTCCGCTTGATTCATCACTACCTGCTCTCCTTCAGCAACAGCCATTGGTAGCCATTCAGTGGCATTAGGGAGGAAGTCTATGTCCCCCCTCAGCACCGAGAAAAGGCCGTTTGCCGGGATGAGGTTAGTGATGACCCTCAGAACAGGCAATCCTTCCGATGTAAATTTGTTCGGTTTGATGACACCGAAAATCCCTGAAAGATAAGTGCCCCGTTCATCTCTGTAAGCTGTATCCTCTGTAACCCATTCAGTGATGCCCCTTTCTTGTAACAAATTAAAAACTGAAAGCTCTTCCCCTCTTTTGGTGTGAACCCTTGCAGTGACCGGAGTTGCCCCTCGTTCTGAAACTTCAAGGAGCGATTCCAGCGGGTTTTCCATTAAATATCTCGTTCTCCCTCGTAAAAAAGGACAGACTGGGATAGAAGCACCATGTCCAACAGGGGGTAATCCTTTGATAATTTGAGAAACTGAAAGTGGATAGGGTTGTGAAATCTCCTCACCTGCATAGCTGGCTCTTTTACATTTAACATCAGCAACAACTTCCTCAAATGTTGTACCCATAGGTTTCTCACCTTTCAAAAACCTCTCCACCTTATCTTCCATGTCCCTCAGCGCGCAAGTATGCACTTTTCCAGGTCGGCGACTAAATCCTTGTCTGGGACATTTGTACAATGCATTGATTGACGCACACCCCAGCGCTGTCCACCACCGCACCGACAAGCGAAAACGCTCCTCAGCGGTGGCTTCATCACCATCCATCATGATGTCAGGTATGATGACCGGCAGGGGAAACAGTTCGCCCGATCGGGATTTCCGACCAGCGAGCTGTGAAGGTTCAGCACATAAGGAAACTTCCGGGATAAAACCTCGTGAAAGTCCCCTTGCCAGTGCAATGCCCAATGAGACTAAATCATTAGTCTGTTCCAGCGTAGCCAGCCAATCACAACGGTTCAGCGGGCAGCCAGGCAAAGAATCGCCAGCGCCTCCTGACCTGAATTCCAGAAGCGTCGTCTCGATGCCTTCAAGATTCGTTGTACCACATTGCCCCTCTTCGTGGGCTGCGACCCCTTGTATAGGATCGCACGGTGCAATTTCACCAGCGCCCAGCTGATACTGTACCATATCTGTCTGTAAGTCTTGTGGCCGGGGCAGGACGGCCCGCTGCCAGCTCACAAGGTATACTTATACCACTGCATGCATTTCCCAGAGACGGAGCCTCGTCTCGACGGGTCATGCACCCTTCTCGTTCTCCTTCTTCCCAGGGTTTGGTTCGCCTCCTTTTGGACGATCGTCCGACCATCCTCCCCAGGCATTCTTTCCACTTTTCCTTTTGCCTTGCCTATTTTCCCTTTTCCTTTGTTCTCCTTTGCTTTTCCTTTTTGTTGACCTCCGTATCCCCAGTCGCCGTACCAGTTTTGTTGCCTTGTCCAACTTCCGTTTCCTCCTGCTTTCTCGACCAACCTGCTGTGCCGTTGAGCTGCAAGAAGGATGTGCGGTGGGGTGCTTGTCTCGTCCCCTTCGTCGAGGACCTCCAAGAACCTCGCTGTGGCCCAGCCTTGTTTGGACGCGGTCTCCACCGCCATCATCCGCGAGGCCAGCACATCTGCCAACTGGTCCAAAGGCCGCTGCTTCAGAAGATCCAGCGCCCTCGAGAGGAGGAACAGCTCCTTCGAGTCCCGCGACTTCGGATCTAACTGGGGCTTCAAACACAGCTGGAAGAAGGTGTGAAATTTGCCCCTCATTGATGAGGCTTGGTTCTGACTCCCTTCTGCCTCCTCTAAAGTTGCATCCTGGGCCAATCTCTCCGTTGCATGTGTCTCCAACATCTTGAAAACGGCACCCGGTGACCGCGGGGCTTTCTTCTTCAAAGGTGGCATCAGGGACTCGCTGCTGCTTGTCTCCGCCTCTGAGTAGCGGCTGTCTGACTCCTCGCTCGAGTGACAAGGTACTTAAAACCAGTAACCAGCACACCCACATCGGCCGGGGCATCCAGCACGGCCACAGGATCCTTGAACTGGATCACTGAGCCAGCTGGAATGTAGCGAAGTCTCCAAAACTCTGCCTCTGCTGTATTGTAGTTTACTGGCTTTGATGGCCTGGGTAGCCTCTGTAGTGCCTCCCTCACCTCTTCGGGGGAAGGGACCGGCCCAAAGGGATTGTCGCCGACTCCATCCCATTCCTCCTCTGCTGGAATGGCCTCCTCTGCCATCAGCCCCACCTAGGGGACAAGGAGTGGAAATGCGCTAGGCCCTACGGCTCAAACCCTCGTCAAGGGTTCGAGACAATCTCAGGCCTTCCGTTGGGTATCGCCTGTGGCTCGCTCTGAAGGGGTCCTCGTTCTCTCTGTAGTGGCGTTGATGGCGAGTGCCTCCTCTTTTGCTCTTGTTCTTCTTTTTCTTTTTCTTTTTTCCTCGATCTGAATGATGTTGGTCTTCCTCGTCCCTGTGATGCGGAACCTCTGCAGCCGCAAAACTCGGCGGGTAAGGCGGCTCTGGTGGCTTCTCTGATCCTCTGCTCTCTTGCTTCACCTCGGTCCTCCTGGGCTCCTCTGGTTCCACTCGCCTTTCTGAAACAGCTGGTGCCTCCTCTTCTTCCGACTCCTCCAGGTAGCTCTCTTCCTCCTCATTGGCGGGGAACGACGGCGCTCCTCACCCGGTGGCTGCCTCCTTAAGGGAGGCCTGTCGTCTCTCAGCGGTGTGCGAGAGCGCGGCCGATCAGTTCGGCTCTTTGCAGCCGCAAGTGGTCCCTTGTCCACAGCGGCCGCAGTCAGGAGGTTGCTGTCCAGGTTACTGAAAGCCCGGCACAGCTTTGCTGTGGACAGCAAGGTTTCCTCAGCTATTGCCCGAAGTCCCGGGTTGTTCCAGCGCCTCCGGAGGAGGGTGCTCGAAACTTCCAGGGCCGAGCAACCAAGGCACCAGTTAGCCCCCTCAGCCTGTTTTCCTGACCGGCACTTGTTGCACACAGGCTGGGAAGAACGCATCCTATGCCTTTGAGCCTTAACAGCCCCGACACAACACCTATCAAAACGTTCATCCTAAAAGTCGATGCGACATCCATGCATGTAAACGTGCCTGCCACTGTGTGTCAAAGCGCCTCTGTGTAAAAGTGCTTGCTTGTAAAGGAATCTCAGCGTAAAAGAACGTGTGCGTAAAGCGCTGCGTACTGTAGACGTATTAACATGTAAAAACACCTGTGTAAAAGCATCTCTGTGTAAAGGTACCTGTGTTAGCAAAATCATCTCTGTGTAAAAGTATTTGTATCTTAAAGCACCCGTGTGTAAAAGCGTCCCTGTGTTGAAAGTATCTCTGTGTAAGAGCACCTGAAAGTAGAAGCATCCCTTTGTAAAATCATCTCTCTGCGTAAAACGATCTCTGTGTGAAGGCCCCTCCCTGTGTAGAAGCCCTTGTATGTAAACGCATCTCTCTGTAAAAACAAAATGGATGGAAACTTGATTCCCAAATGGTTTGAACCCTCCCCCAAATCGTGTTCCCAGCCTCACCCATGTAAGAGTACCTCTTCCTAGATGCGTCCTAGTCTAAAAGCACCTGCGTGTAACAGCCTCTCTCCGTTAAAGTATCCGTGCAAAAATCCTTTTGTAAAAGTGCATGTGTCTAAAAAGACGCCTTTGTACAAATGTTTTTCTGTGTGGAGAACATCTCTGTGTAAGAGTATTTAATGTAAAATTTTCTGTGTAAAAGCTAACTTGTGTCAAAAGAAGCCCTGTGTTCTCGCACGTGCGTGTAAAAGCACTCCTCTGTGAAAGCATCGCTGTGTAAAGGCATCTGCGTGTAGAAGTGCCCACGCGTCTGTGTGTAAAAGTTTTTTGGGATTTTTGGATATAAAAGCATCCCTGTGGAAAAACACCTGCGCATGAAGGTATTTGCGGTATTTGCGTGTAAAACCATCCCTGAGTAAAAGCATGTATATGTGTAAATGCCTGTGTGAAAACATGTCTTTGTGAAAGCACCTCTGTGTGAAAGTATCGGTGTACCATATGTTGGCCGTTTGCTGTTAGCATCTCTAAGCTGCGTAGTATCTGCCGCAAAATTGCCCGGTATTTGCAGCATTCTGCAGCTAGCACCTGTACATTGCATGGCATGATGCAACATCAGTTCATTGCACGGAGCTTTGCCATCGGCTAATATTTGCAGCAGGGCAGTGCAAAGCTAACATCGGCAAATTGCATGATAGTTGCAAGATATGGGATCATATCTGCAAACACACGGCGCCCTGAAGCAAAAAACATGCACACTGTAGAATGTTCGCAGTTTTTAAAACCAAAAACTATCAAACTATCACTTGCACAGTATGTGCAGCATACTGGTGCAAATTTTAGTGCGCCGCATAGTCTTTGCAGTATTTGCAACTATCACTGGTAAACCGCATGGCATGCGCAGCATTTTGAAATTGACGTCTGTCAATTGGATGCTATTTTTACATTTTTACGGCTTTCTGAAGCTCAAACCTGCAAGTGGACGGTATTCGCAACATCTTGAAATTATCATCTGCAGATTGCACAACGTGGCATGGTGTTTGCAGCGTGTTGCGACTAACATCTGTAAACTGCACGGTCTTTGCCACATTTTGAAACCAACATGTGCAATTTGCTTGGGACCTGCAACTCTTTGAAGTAACATGTGTACATGGAAAAGTGCACGCAGCATTTTGGAGCTAGGCCTTCGTTTCTTTCTTCCTGCCGTCCTCCTTCCTTCCTTCCTTCCTTCCTTCCTTCCCTCCCTCCCTCTTTCTTTCCCTTCCTCCTGTCGGGATTATGTCCTGCTTTCTTTTTCTGTTGGGTTCCTATTCTAATACCTTTTTCCTTTGATAAATTTGCGCTAGGGTCTCGGTGCAAGTGTAGTATGCAACAGGTATGTCAACTCCTCTGATGAGGTGAGCCGCCCACTGCCCTGGTTGCTGCATGGACTGAGGGAATGTCCGCAGTTGCTTCGTTTGAAGCATCACAACCAGTCCGTAAGTTACTTCATAACATACGTCAACATCTGTCTGTCCCCCCACTTCAACTCAAACCTGCAAACGCGAGGTCGTCGTCACATCGTCATCCTCGTCGTTGTCGTCATCGCCATGGTCCAACTCATCATCATCGTCATCGATATCGATACCGACATCATCATCATCATCATCACCACCAAGACACCATCGAGACCAGCGACGCCACCGAGACATCATCGACGCACCAACCAGCACGACCGAGACCCCACCGAGACACCACCAAGACACCACGGAGACGCACCAAGACACCACCAAGACACCATGGACACCACCGAGACACCACCGAGACATCACCGAGACACCACCAAGACATCACCGAGACACCACGGACACCACCGAGACACCACCAAGACACCACCGAGACACCACCGAGAAGCCACCAAGACACCACACCGAGATACCGCCGAGACACCACCGAGACACCACCAAAACCGCAAAAACATATGAGACACCACCGGGACACCCGAGACCCCACACCACCGAGACACCGCCCAGGCCGGCAGCCGTAAACCCGACGGCGCCCATCCGCCTTTAGAGTTAACAACCCCAAGCTACCGCTATTGGGGAAATAGATAGGTTAAATAGACAGATTAAATAGGCAGATTAAATAGACATATTAAATAGAGAGATTAAACAGATAGACTAAATAGATAGATTGGTTAGATAGATTAGATAGATAGACTAATAGGTAGGTTAGATAGATTACATTAGATGGATTAGATTAGATAGATTTGACAGATTGATAGATTAAATAGATTTAGATAGATTTGATACTGTTGATGGAAGAAATCCTGCACCACTTTCAAAGGCCTACACTTGAAACCTCGCGCTCCTAATTTAATATTGATTGAAGACACAGTGATCAAAATGAATTTGCGCGAGTGACGGAAATCCTGCACCACCTGTCAACATGTCATTCAACATTGAGCTTGGGGGTACGGGGGTACAAGTTATGCATGAGCAAACCTAAGTTTATAGAGGTGGTGCAGGATTTCTTCCACCCACCGAAGAAAGACAAGGATTTCTTGTATTTTTGGTCTTGCAAATTTCTTCCCGTCACCAGCTACTTCCAGGGGATCAAATCCATCGTCCGTTCTTCTTATAGTTCCCCCAGTGCGCTTCACGCTTCACCTGCACACAGCTGAGCACGAGACAAAATGAGCTACATGGCAGCCGCCGCACGCTACACGCAAACTGCACGCAACACTCACGCTACACTACACGCACTACACGCTACACTACACGCAACACTACCAAAATGCTGTCAGGGGCAGCATTCAGGTCAGGACAGAAAAAAAGCTGACTTGTATTTTCATTTCATTCCTTAAAAGCCTCAAAGCTCCAAAATGCCGCCCCTGCCAGCAGTTCGGGAGTGTTGCGTGCAGTGTAGCGTGTAGTGTTGCGTGTAGTGTAGCGTGTAGTGTTGCGTGGGAGCCCCACGCAACACTAGTCACTTTCAGGTGCTTCTTTGAAAAGGATTCTGCTTCCTCCCTCCTCCTGGTCCGGCAACCATTTTCCGGCATGCCAGCGCTGCTCTGCCCAGCTTGTGTTGCAATATACTCAAATCTAAATGCACCAGGCTTGATGACCTTGAATTCAAAGGTTGATGATCTGACAAGCGAATGAATGCATATGGCCAAAACATCCTTCAGCTTCTGCCCGCTGATTCTTTGCAGTTCTTCAACCAGGCACATAAAATTTCAGTACTGTTGATGGAAGAAATCCTGCACCACTTTCAAAGGCCTACACTTGAAACCTCGCGCTCCTAATTTAATATTGATTGAAGACACAGTGATCAAAATGAATTTGCGCGAGTGACGGAAATCCTGCACCACCTGTCAACATGTCATTCAACATTGAGCTTGGGGGTACGGGGGTACAAGTTATGCATTAGCAAACCTAAGTTTATAGAGGTGGTGCAGGATTTCTTCCACCCACCGAAGAAAGACAAGGATTTCTTGTATTTTTGGTCTTGCAAATTTCTTCCCGTCACCAGCTACTTCCAGGGGATCAAATCCATCGTCCGTTCTTCTTATAGTTCCCCCAGTGCGCTTCACGCTTCACCTGCACACAGCTGAGCACGAGACAAAATGAGCTACATGGCAGCCGCCGCACGCTACACGCAAACTGCACGCAAACTGCACGCAACACTCACGCTACACTACACGCAACACTACACGCTACACTACACGCAACACTACCAAAATGCTGTCAGGGGCAGCATTCAGGTCAGGACAGAAAAAAAGCTGACTTGTATTTTCATTTCATTCCTTAAAAGCCTCAAAGCTCCAAAATGCCGCCCCTGCCAGCAGTTCGGGAGTGTTGCGTGCAGTGTAGCGTGTAGTGTTGCGTGTAGTGTAGCGTGTAGTGTTGCGTGGGAGCCCCACGCAACACTAGTCACTTTCAGGTGCTTCTTTGAAAAGGATTCTGCTTCCTCCCTCCTCCTGGTCCGGCAACCATTTTCCGGCATGCCAGCGCTGCTCTGCCCAGCTGGTGTTGCAATATACTCAAATCTAAATGCACCAGGCTTGATGACCTTGAATTCAAAGGTTGATGATCTGACAAGCGAATGAATGCATATGGCCAAAACATCCTTCAGCTTCTGCCCGCTGATTCTTTGCAGTTCTTCAACCAGGCACATAAAATTTCAGTACTGTTGATGGAAGAAATCCTGCACCACTTTCAAAGGCCTACACTTGAAACCTCGCGCTCCTAATTTAATATTGTTTGAAGACACAGTGATCAAAATGGATTTGCGCGAGTGACGGAAATCCTGCACCACCTGTCAACATGTCATTCAACATTGAGCTTGGGGGTACGGGGGTACAAGTTATGCATTAGCAAACCTAAGTTTATAGAGGTGGTGCAGGATTTCTTCCACCCACCGAAGAAAGACAAGGATTTCTTGTATTTTTGGTCTTGCAAATTTCTTCCCGTCACCAGCTACTTCCAGGGGATCAAATCCATCGT